GTTCTTCCCCTTTGCTAACCTCTCTGCACACGCTCAGTTAGCAGGTGACCAGTGTAGCTTTATCCTTTACATAGCAGCAGCGCAGGTAGATCCCTTCCACCAACCCCCCGCACTGCACATTAGCCAGGAGAAGAGAGGGGGACAGGAGTTGAAAGGCAATTATATTGGTCTCTGATGAGAGTACAAACTGAGGCAGACAAAGCCCTGTGATGTGGTGAGGCCATCCAGCCATCCCCAGGTACACAGGCAGACAATAGCCAACTGAAAGCCCTGCATTCTGTCTAGACACGCTAACAAACCAAAGCAAAAAGAGTCCATTAAGACGAGATGAAAACATTCGTTAGTAGGTGAGACAACAAGAAACGGTTAAGCTTAAGAAGCTTTGAAGGCACTTTGAAACCCTTGAAATGCATTTGAATTAACCTGTTAAGCTCTTGTCTCAGAAGTAGGTTATCCCGTTGAAAGATCAATCCAAAAAAGATTATTTTAAAGGGTTCTGTAGGTTTGATGCATGTTTGTTTTTTTGTGACATAAATAGCAGACTTTTCAAAGACATGTTCATCTTGATCTAAACGGCACCGCATAACTACTAACTTTGCCCAAGTAAGCACCTTCAATATGACCATAATTAAGTTTGACATTCACCATAAACCGGCCCATCTGTCACAGTCCAGACACTTGTGTATTTAGAGCGAGACTAAAACAAATACAACATGGGTGAGAAGGTGGAGGTTTTTGGGCAACTGCGTTACCACCTGTAATGCTTACTCTATTGAGTCTAAATATGTTTTGTGATGGTTGATTATGGGCTCAGAACAGTCTCATAAAACACACATGAACACAGAAGGATTCTAACTTTTATTTCATGATCTGCAAAAGGATTCACACTTGTATTTCCGGATCCACACTTGTGTTTTTCAATGCACACACAAATGTGTTCCGTTTCATATACATGTAAATAAAATCCAAATACAGAAAAAAGTTTTACATATGTATTGTTGATCCTCACATATTAGTTTTCCGTTTAAATCCCCTGAANNNNCGCCTGCCTACCCTTTAGCAAGTAGCGTAGCTTCCAGAAGTTATCGTTTGGCTCAGGGGAGGGGACGCGGATCAGTGAAACTTCCTGCAGACTCGTGGGGACTCAGAGCCGTAACCGTATAGCAGCAGATTCAGAGATCCAGCAGACTCGTCGTCATGCACGAATCAGCAGACAGCAGACTCAGATTTGCCAAATCACAAAATAACCCTTTTTTTTGTGATCAACATTTTTTATTAAAGCAGAAGGCACTGTGTAGCGGAGGTTAATATAACGTCAGTTTAATATGCTCGTGAAATGCAACAACTTTTCGGTTTCACCGGTAGGATTTCTACTGTCTTGGTGATGCTGACTCATATGACTCAAATGACTCGTATGATCCGGACCTCTTCAATCACTGACTGATAAGACTCCAAGTCCATAAAAGGATCCGGATTTGCCAACTCGAGGAGACACGCAGCTCTACATGATCACCTGAAGCTCCGCCTTCTGTTTAGCGAGCTGACCGGACAGCGCAAAATGCGTATATGAAGTGTCATGAACGCAATAAATCATACCCTCGTGGGGGCGCGCTCATGTGATTGGCTTAGAATTGAGGAGACATCTGATTGGCTATAGATAGAAAAAATTACAAGTACGAATCGGCTGACCGTCAGGGGAGTCTCAAAAAACCCACACACGAATGCACAGCGATCCGTGCACAGAAAGCAGGTTGTGTTTGCAGGTTCAGGGGATTTTAAACGGTAAACAAATATGTGTGGATNTATTTATGTCTGCATGAAGTTGTTGTGAGTGTGGAGGGAGCAGCTACAGGTTAGCTTAGCCTAATCGATCAGTGCACTACGAAGCCAGTGCTAGACAGTCACTGTCTAGCACTGGCTTCGTAGTGCACTGATCGATTAGGCTAAGCTAACCTGTAGCTGCTCCCTCCACACTCACAACAACTTCATGCAGACATAAATAAAGCAGCTGTATTCGCCATACAGGAAACACACATTTAAAACGGTTTTGGCTGCCGTTTCTGTGTACACACAAGCATTCATCAATGGTTCGGAAAGTGGCGCTGTACCTAAATAATATAAAGGCTTGTATTTGCGTGCATTTCCTGTTTGGAAATTGGCAATGTACTGAGTGGAGGTGTCCTGAGATTAGCGCCTGCAGGCAGGCTCCTTGGACCTGTCAGCTCCGGACAGCGCAAAATGCGTACATGAAGCGCTACATCATGAACGCAAGAAATCTACCCTCGTGGGGGCGCGCTCATGTGATTGGCTTAGAATTGAGGAGACATCTGATTGGCTATAGATAGAAACAATTACAAGTACGAATCGGCTGACCGTCAGGGGAGTCTCAAAAAACCCACATACGAATGCACAGCGATCCGTGCACAGAAAACGGTTTGTGTTTGCAGGTTCAGAGGTTTTAAACGGAAAACAAATATGTGAGGATCAAAAATAAACATTTAAAACTTTTTTCAGTATTTGGATTTTATGTATATGAAACGGAACACATTTGTGTGTGCATTGAAAAACACAAGTGTGAATCCTTTTGTGGATCATGAAATACAAGTTTGAATCCTTCTGTTTGCATGTGTGTATTATGAGACTGTCTGAGCCCATAGTTGATTGATAAAACAAATGTTCCTCTGGCTGCAATAAATGTTGCAAGTTTTTACAAGGCTAGCATGAACACCTGCGATCACATGCTCTAACTCTTATATTCCACGCTGGGCCTCACAACAACAAATACATTAACAGTGTTGGAAGAAGCCCTGCTACCAGAGATGGCACACTCTTACACAGACACACATAAAACACACACATGAACCTGTGGTTTCCTGAACCACAACAAACACTTACTCTGGGACTAATCCCATGTCTCTATGGAGTGTTTTCTCCTGTTTACACTCTTCAGTAATGATGGGGCCATTAGACATGAGACTTGGTCTTACATTAAAGGAGTCATCACGCTTCATCTTAACAAGGGTCTGTTGCATGTAATGAGGTCAGTGATGCTGGGCTTCCCCTCGTCTAGATGCTGGTTTCTTGACTCACTGGTTCCCACAGCGTGTGTCCCACACTTGTCCTTACCGGAGGTAAATCCTGCTTCACCCGATCTCTAGGTTCCAAACCACGAGGGGCCGCAGGATCTCAAGAAACCTTTTATTTCTGCTTCAAATATTACGGTCTTTTTCAGACTTGCAAATAGTCTTTGCTTCTATATTGTCATTTATTAGATCCTTCCTATATTATGTACTAACTGTGACGTCCACTGAGACAAATATTTGTGATATTGGGCTATATAAATAAACATTGATTGATTGATTTATTGATTGATTGATTCCTCTTAAAACATACATATGCTGTGTTTATAACCCAATTTTGGTTGAAGTGGTCAAAACTGGTAGACATACTGCATTGTGAGGAGCCTCTACTAGATATTGCTTTTTTTGTATGTGTCCAATAAGCCAATCAGACAATGGTTCATTAGAAAGCTGCACTTAAAGATTTGCAAAAAGACTCAGGGCTGAGACACAGACGGTGTAAGAAAGTCTGAAAGCTTTGAGGGACGTCTAGCTCATTGCTGGTTTGAGTCTTTTCAGCCTTATCCTTTAAACGTAAAACTTAACGGATAATCTTTCTTTTGAGTACACATGTCAACACTCCCTTTAATCCCCTGTATGCCTGAAAGATGGCTGTGAACAGTCTGTAGCTCGCTCTTTCCCAGAGGGCAGCAGCTGTGGTCAGCTTGGATTCACAACAGTAAATGATGTAGTCAAATCCAGGTCTGTAGATTTTCTCACAGATATGACAGTGACATACAGTATTTGGAGCTCTGACATAGCTTTGTGAATTTCAAAGGGTCTTATGCATATGGCGGCCAGTGCAACTGTCATGTTGACTTCTCTGTCATCGCTATCAATATGCGTCAACATTGGCGAAGTCCCTCAAATGGAGACAAGCCTAAAGTACATTGTCTTTTCTCTCTGGGGTCAAATGCCCCTCACACACTTTCTCAGTTCTTGGCACACAAGAAACCAGAGTGCAATACCCTTTTGTAGAATTAGAAAGTAAAAAAAAGTGCCTGCTGAAGCCAACTCCCTCATATGGAGGCAACAAAACACAAGGATCTTTGATGTTTTGGATGCAGACCCAACTGAGTCCACATGTTTCTCAAAAGAGATGTTTAAAGGCTAATGGAAAAGAGAAGGATTAACGAGCACCACCACAAAACAGGTCATGAACTTTATGCGCAACAAACATGTCATGTCACATTGTTGGTCTTGTCTTGGTTTAAAATTAATGAGTGATGAGGCTAAATGGGAGCTTCCATAAAGAAAAACCACAGTGTTTGTACAGTATTTTGCATAGTGTGTCACAGCAGTTAGGTAACTTGCATCACCGCAAGCTATGGCCTACTTACTCAAGCCAGTAATTCTTCACCCTGCACCTGTTAGTAATTCGCAACAACAAAATCACTTGTCATGACTAATGGGTCACATTAATTTGTATATAACAAATCATATAAACCCCAATAGTTTGTCCTTACCTAAACTCAGGATATCTTGTTTTCTTTTCTGTGTTTTTACACTGCACTTCAGACAGATGCCAGTATTTAGCTTCAGGAATAAGTACCTATCTTCTATATACAGTTGAGGCCACAATTATTAGTCAGAGATCAGTGCATCTGCTGCTGGGTTATCAGTGGAAAGAATGAGCATGCTGGAGAGTGGAGTGTTGGATTGATTTAATGTATAGACAGACAGAGTTATGGAACATTTTCCTAAAATTCTTCCCAATGTTTCCAGCATTGATAAAACTTGATATAATCAAACATTCACCAGTGCTGTTTAGTACAGTAGCTTTTGGTACATTTTGGAACATAAAAAAAGTTTTTAGGCTTGCTTTATATCAAATATAGTGAAAAATGGGTTGGTAAAAAATATTAGCCCCCAACCCATTACCCTTTCTGAGCCACAACTGACAGCAACCTCTTAGAGTAGTTCTTGACTAGGTTGGCACAGGTCTCTAGAGGGATTTTGGCCCATTCTTCCATTGCAAATGGTTCCAGCTGGTCCAAATTGCGTGGTTTCCGAGCATGGACATTCACTTTGAGCACCCACCACAGATTCTCAAGAGGATAAAGATCTGGGCTATGTGCGGTCCACTCCAGCACCTTGGTTTTGGTGTCCTTTAAGAACTGTTGGACCAATTTTGATGTGCGCTTTGGGTCATTGTCTTGTTGGAAGACCCAGCGACGACCTAAGCGAAGACTAACAGCCGATTTTTTCACATTATCCCTCAAAATGTCAACATAATTTTATTTTTTCATGGTGCCTTGCACCCGAACAAGGCTCCATGTGCCTGAAGCTGCAAAACAGCCCCACAGCATGATGTGTTATTAGTAGGGCTGTCAAACGATTAACATTTTTAATCAGATTAATCACAGCTTAAAAATTAATTAATCATGATTAATCACCATTCGAACTATGTCCAAAATATGCCATTTCTTTATGTATATTGTTGTGGGAATGGAAAGATAAATGAAAGAAGGCGGATATACCCATTTAACATACAGTATGTATGTTTATTATAACATTGTTCTGTGTATCAAAATGAAATACAGCCCACACACCTATCAATCATCAAACCGTGGGGTCTTATTTCATTACGTGTTGATTTCTATCAACACGTAATGTTGTATCGACGTATAGAGATGTACTACAGCAAAAGTATTCTCCGTCAGGACTTCCTGCAACAACACCACGCCGTTATCTTGATTCTGATTGGCCAGAAGACATTATCAAAGATGTTCTACTGAGAAGAAGATCACTACGTGACAAAAGTTTTCAAAACCGTTTCTAGTCTTCGGTATTTCCAGACAAGTGGCTACTGAAATCAATCTTACTAACTGCTGTCTGTGCAATTTACTCGGCGCGAGTTGGCGGACTTTATTTTGCTTACTTTAACATCATGTTTCATGGTGGGGCTAAGCCATTTCTTGGTATGGCACTACCAGGCACCCCAGCGCTGCCACTGGTGGGATGTATGGGGCGGGCCATTCTGCTCATGCGTTAAATGCGTTAAATATTTTAACGCAATGAAT